CTGAGCATGGGGACAAGGTCAGCAGATGAGGCAGGGAGAGCAGGAGGCCAATGAAACAAAGGAAATGAGGGTATGGGGCAAGAAGTTGTTGTGGGTGAAGAGTGGGAGCAGTTGGGGCTGGAGGGGCTTGAGGGAGCTGGATGTGCCTGATGGCCTTTCTTTAAGCCTGACTTTGGGGATGTGACAGGTAGACCTCACACTGACCCTAACCCTCTGCTCAAGTAGGCAGGGGCTTTCATAGCAGGAAAAAAAGATAAATTAAAAGACAGAAAATGTCTGGGAATAAAGTCTACAGGCTGGAAAAAGCAGGTGTAAGAAGAAGCAGAGACAGAACACAGGACACCAGTGCACATGGTCAGCACAGGACCATTTACCTGCACAGAGAATTTGGCTAAAGTTCTGGTTGCAGTCTCCAGGACCCACCAGAAAGCTGGGTTTCCTCCAGCCCCCGGTCCCTGAGTCCTGTGCAGGGCGAAGGATGCTCAGCATCCTTCTAACATGATTTCCTTCCTTCTGCTCTCCAGCTCCTGGGAGACATCCTCATCATTGTGCTGGCCGCACACTTCACCAAGGACTTCACCCCTGCCTGCCAGGCCACTTGGCAGAAGCTGGTTGGGGTGGTGGCCCACGCGCTGGCCTACAAGTACCATTAAACCCTCCGGAGGCAGATGTGTCTGTGACCATCAATAAAACCCCCGCATCTCCTGGACTTCTTAGTGTGCTTCTGTGTCTCTGTGCCTGCCTGTGGGGTGGGAGGGAGGGAGAAAGGGGCATGAAAGGGGCAAAACGGCCTCCAGGCTGTGGGGCTGGTCCTGGACCTCTATGCAGTGATGTAGGGGTTTCCACTGCATAGGGAGCTCCAGTGGGACATCTGGGGATACTGGTCTCTAAACCACTGATGGGCACATCCCAGCTCACCTAATACCCCTGAGATTGATGCAGTCACTGGAGGGGAGGATTTCTGAACTATTCTGTGCAGAAGGCTAAGCTGCAGGGTGAGCAAGGACCCCTCTGGCCATAAGCCTCTCAACCCACCATGCATGCAAGGATATAAATTTGTAGAGATTCTCTGAAGCCTGCTTAGATTAGGCAGAGATTTGGCCCTTCCTATTTTAGTATTGATGTATTTTTAGGAAGTTGATCAAAACTTAGCGACAAGAGGAAATGGCCTCAGGTTGCCCTGGCGGAGGTTTAGGCTGACTATGAGGAACAATTTCTTGCCCTTGAGGGTTGACCAAGCCCATCCCAGGCTGCCCAGGGCAGTGGTGGAGTCCCCATCCCTCCATGCTGGAATGCCCCTTTGCTGACTGAAAGGAGAAGGATGTGCTGCAGGACAGCTGGGCTGGATTCTAGGAGTTGGTGTTCCTTTTCCCCCAGCCCAGGATGTTCTCGGTGCTGTCAGCAGGGCTGGATGCTCTGCCTGTCAGACAGGCTGCCTGTGGAGGATAGAGGGGTCATAAGTGCAAATCCCTTCTTTATCAGGAGAAAGGCAGAAAGTGTATTCTTAAGTCATGCAAAACAAGGATTTCATCATTCTGAGACACTGACATATCTGTCCTTGCTGCTTTTTAAGTTATTACTGGAAAAGCATTGCTGAAATGTCTATTTTTATGTAGAATCCTTCCATCCGTGTGAAAAAACATTCTTATCAGAGAATCACGGAATGGTTTGGGTGGGAAGGGACCTTTCAAGAGCGCCTAGTCCAACCCCCTGCACTGAGCAGGGACATCTACAACTAGAGCAGGTTGCTCAGAGCCCCGGCCAACCTCCCCTGGAATGGTTCCAGGGATGGGGCAGTGACCACCTCTCGGGGCAACCTGGGCCAGGGGCTCACCACCCTCAGTGTCAAACATTTCTCCCTTCTCTCCAGTCTCAATCTCCCTCTTTCAGTTTCCCCCCTTGTCCTGTCCCAACAGGCCCTGCTCAAAAGTCTCTCCCCAGCTTTCTTCTAGGTCTCCTTTAAGTCTTGAAATTGCACCAGAAGGTCTCCCCAGCTGGAGCCTTCTCCTCTGCAGGCTGCCCAAGCCCAACTCTCTCCTGCTGGGCTCCCAGCAGAGGGGTTCCCCCCTC